ACCATAAAAGGACAGACCACGCCCCCTCACACCTCACCTCACCATAAAGGACAGACAGCCCCTCACACTCCACCTCACCATAAAAGGACAGACCACGCCCCCTCACACCTCCACCTCACCATAAAAGGACAGACCACGCCCCCTCACACCTCCACCTCACCATAAAAGGAGCAGGTAAAGTGACTCGTGAATGAAATTTCCCTAAACATGAGTCGATAATCAGTGGGTTTGACCGAGACACGCGGGACAGAGGGAGGAGGAGGCTCCACGCAGCACCACGTGATCACGACAAAGACTTTATTAAAGACTTTATTAATTTAATAAATAAATACAAAACTAAAAGTGACAACAATGACTCATCTGTTCATTTAATAATTTTTATAATATTTAGGCAGCACATCTTTGCAGTAAAGACCATGTGTTTTTTCGCTGTTTCAAGAGTTTTATCGCTATATTTTAAAATCTGTCTATGATGTGCGCGTGTGAGAGATTCAGATGCCCTCCCCTGGAGAGCGAAAGGAGCGAGGGAAGGACACGAGGACACGAGGACACAGATTTAGCACGAAACACATCAGATACAGATGTTATTCTGCCAATTAAAGTCCAAACGAAACATCCAAACTGCTGAACCTGTGAGTGTGGGTCTGTGAGTGTGAGTGTGGGTCTGTGTCTGTGAGTGTGGGTCTGTGTCTGTGGGTCTGTGTCTGTGAGTGTGGGTCTGTGTCTGTGAGTGTGGTTCTGGGTCAGGGGCATTATTCTGTTCTTCATGCTGTCAGAGAGCAGCTCTCATGTGCTCAGTTCCACATTACACAAAAATGTAGGGCAGATTTTGGTTGGGGTCAGGTTCGGGCAGTGGGCTTCGTGTTGTCCACAGACTCAGGTCACAGACTCGGGTCACAGACTCAGGTCACAGACTCGGGTCACTCTGGCGCTCGGTGCGTAAAGACTAGAGTAAAAGTGTTAAAGTTTTGTTCATTAAATCAAAGTCTGGCTCCTGCTGCGTCCGAGGGAAGAGTTTTTCTCTCAGGTCATTATTTCGTCCTCTGTGTTGGTCAGTCTGTGTTGGTCAGTCTGTGTTGGTCAGTCTGTGTTGGTCAGTTGTGTTGGTCAGTTGTGTTGGTCAGTCTGTGTTGGTCAGTCTGTGTTGGTCAGTCTGTGTTGGTCAGTTGTGTTGGTCAGTGTGTTGGTCAGTGTGTGTTGGTCAGTCTGTGTTGGTCAGTGTGTGTTGGTCAGTCTGTGTTGGTCAGTCTGTGTTGGTCAGTCTGTGTTGGTCAGTCTGTGTTGGTCAGTCTGTGTTGGTCAGTCTGTGTTGGTCAGTCTGTGTTGGTCAGTTGTGTTGGTCAGTCTGTGTTGGTCAGTCTGTGTTGGTCAGTTGTGTTGGTCAGTTGTGTTGGTCAGTCTGTGTTGGTCAGTCTGTGTTGGTCAGTTGTGTTGGTCAGTCTGTGTTGGTCAGTCTGTGTTGGTCAGTCTGTGTTGGTCAGTCTGTGTTGGTCAGTCTGTGTTGGTCAGTGTGTTGGTCAGTCTGTGTTGGTCAGGTTGTGTGTCAGTTGTGTTTGGTCAGTCTGTGTTGGTCAGTCTGTGTTGGTCAGTCTGTGTGTGTCAGTCTGTGTTGGTCAGTCTGTGTGGTCAGTCTGTGTTGGTCAGTCTGTGTCAGTTGTGTTGGTCAGTCTGTGTTGGGTCAGTCTGTGTGTCAGTGTGTCAGTCTGTGTGGTCAGTCTGTGTTGGTCAGTCTGTGTTGGTCAGTCTGTGTTGGTCAGTCTGTGTTGGTCAGTCTGTGTTGGTCAGTTGTGTTGGTCAGTCTGTGTTGGTCAGTCTGTGTTGGTCAGTCTGTGTTGGTCAGTCTGTGTTGGTCAGTCTGTGTTGGTCAGTCTGTGTCAGTCTGTGTTGGTCAGTGTGTGTTGGTCAGTGTGTCAGTGTGTTGGTCAGTCTGTGTTCAGTGTGTCAGTCTGTGTTGGTCAGTCTGTGTTGGTCAGTTGTGTTGGTCAGTCTGTGTTGGTCAGTTGTGTTGGTCAGTTGTGTTGGTCAGTTGTGTTGGTCAGTGTGTGTTGGTCAGTCTGTGTTGGTCAGTGTGTGTTGGTCAGTCTGTGTTGGTCAGTCTGTGTTGGTCAGTCTGTGTTGGTCAGTCTGTGTCTGTGGTCTTGTTGTGGACTGTGAGACTCTGCGCTGCACCGAGTCCAGGAACATGTCCGCGCTCGTGCACGAGTGTCAAATGTTTAATATTGTGGAGAATAATGATGGAATAAACAGCTCTGCTCCGTATTTTAACCAAACACTTAAATGTACAAATCTGAAGGTCATTCTTCTGTATACGTGGATTTTCTGATCAAACTCTTCCTCAAACTCTGTTCACTTCTGCTTCTCTCCACGAGTGTCGCTTTTTCCCCGTGTCTCCAGACTTTGTGTAGAACTTACAGGAGGTTCAGAGTTGGTGTAGAGTTAAACAAAGAGCCACGACTTAGTCGAGTTTTATAAATACCGCGGTTGGCGTAGGAAGCGCACGCACGGATTTTTGCGTAAGTGAGATTTATAAATGAGGCCCCTGGTTTTGTCCTGGTTTATTAGAGATGAAACGATACAGTTTTCACACGATTCGATTCTCGTCTTGATACTCGGGTCAATTTCGATACGTTTTAAGACGCAAAAAACAAAAACAAAAAAAACTAGAAAAGCAGTCAGAGAGCGCAGACCTCCGCCAAGGACCACCCCCATTTTTTATATAAATTGCGATAAAATCCGTCTTCTGGATCAGATCTTGGATCAGCCTTTGGAATATGAAAGAGGATCCATTGTCCATCCCTGAGTCAAATTTCATGGGGTTTGGTCAATAATTAACCCAGATATTGAGAAACTAAATTTTTGGCCCCATTTACCACAATGTTAACTAAAATTTCAAAGTGATCCAGAATCCAGGATTTCTTCCGGATCACCCCCAAAATGAAATCAGTTCTTCCTTTTCACATTTCCAACAAATCCTGAAAATTTCATCAAAATCGGTCCATAACTTTTTGAGTTATGTTTGCTAACAGACAAACAAACAAACAAACAAACAAACACAAACAAACAAACAGACAAACAGACAAACAAACAAACAAAAAAACATAACCTCCCTGGCGGAGGTAATAAAAGCATGTAATTTTTTCTGCTGATGAGTAAAATATAAAAACACAACGATGTTAATGAAACACACAACACACACACACACACACACACACACACATACACACACACACACACACACACACATACACACACACACACACACACACACACACACACACACACACACACACACACATACACACACACACATACACACACACACATACACACACACAGACAGTACACACACACACAGTACACACACACACACACACACACACACACACACACACACACAGTACACACACACACACACATACACACACACAGACACGTACACACACACATACACACAACACACACACACACATACACACACAGACAGTAACACACACACAGACAGTACACACACACACACACAGTACACACACAGACAGTACACACACACACACACACACACACACACAGTACACACACAGTACACACACACACACACACAGACAGTACACACACACACAGACCGTACACACACAGACAGTACACACACACACAGACCGTACACACACAGACAGTACACACACACACACACAGACCGTACACACACAGACAGTACACACACACACACACACAGACCGTACACACACAGACAGTACACACACACACCGGACACACACAGACCGTACACACACAGACAGTACACACACACACACACAGACGTACACACACAGACAGTACACACACACACACACACACACACACACACACAGACCGTACACACACAGACAGTACACACACAGACCGTACACACACAGACACACACACACACAGACACACACACACACACACACACACACACAGACCGTACACACACAGACAGTACACACACAGTACACACACACAGACAGTACACACACACAGACCGTACACACACACACACACACACACAGACCGTACACACACAGACAGTACACACACAGACTGTACACACACACAGACCGTACACACAGACCGTACACACACATACACACACACACACAGACTGTACACACACACACACACATACACAGACCGTACACACACACAGACTGTACACACACACACAGACCGTACACACACACACACACAGACCGTACACACACACACACACACACAGACCACACACACAGACCGTACACACACACACAGACCGTACACACACACACACACACACAGACCGTACACACACACTGTCACACTTTTCTGATGATCTGACGATTTCTTTTTCTCTGGAGATTCACTGTGTCACACATCTGTGTCCTGCACAGGGGCGTGCACCAGGTCATGTACCGGGTCATGCACCAGGTCAAGGGTGGAGATCCCAGAGCTCCGTCGCCTGCAGGGGGCGACACTGTTTAAAATGGAGCCTGTTACAGCGACAGCAGCAGGGTTTTTTTTCTGTAGAGTTTCCTGTTTGAGGAACGTCAACGATGGACGAGAAAAAAGTGAAGTTGGTGAGTGACGATTTATGACGAGAAACAGACAAAAAACAGACGAGAAACAGAGAAACAGAAACAGACAAAAAACAGACGAGAAACAGACAAAAAACAGACGAGAAACAGACAAAAAACAGACGAGAAAAAAGACAGACGAAAACAGACGACGAGAAACAGACGAGAAACAGACAAAAATAATTCAAACCCAACACGAGTATCGTACCGAATCATGACTCCAGTATCGAGCGATTCGATATTATATCAAATATCGTTACATCCCTGTGGTTTTTCTGTGTGTGAGAATCTGAAACGTCGCCGTGTTTCTTTTATTTTATTTTGTTTTATTTTATTTAGTTTTAATTGTTTTGTTGTGACGTTCTCCTCTGGCCCCGCCCACACCACAGAGCTGCGCTGTGATTGGTCACTCACCCGTCTGAGTCCTGGTAGTTCACGTTCAGACGTTTGGTCGATCCAAGAAGCTCTGAAAAACACAAACCAAAATCAGAACCAAACCAGGACTAAAACAGGACTAAAACAGGACTAAACCAGGACTAAATCAGGACTAGACCAGAACTATAGCAGGTCTAAAACAGGACTAAACCAGGCTCTTGACTCCAGACTTTTATTAGTGTTTTAATCTTTGATTAGAGCAACAGTTAATCACAATTAATATGTGGTTAAGTGCACAGATCTGGTCCTGGTCCTGGTCCTGGTCCTGGTCCTGGTCTGGTCCTGGTCTGGTCTGGTCTGGTCCTGGTCTGGTTCTCAGTCTGGTCCTGGTCTGGTCTGGTCTGGTCTGGTCTGGTTCTGGGTCTGGTCCTGGTCTGGTTCTGGTCTGGTCCTGGTCCTGGTCTGGTCCTGGTCTTGGGAGGAGGAGCTGCAGAGGAATGTGCTCAGGCTGTGATTAGGGTCAGTGTGGTCCAGGCTACATATAGACTCACACCGACGAGTCCGGCTCTAGACCGGATTTAGTCCCGGTTCAGTCCCGGTTCAGTCCTCCTTTAGTCCTGGTTTAGTTCTGAGCTCAGGTCTCAGGAATGAAACGAGAAAAGCCCTCAGGAAGAGGAAGTGATCTCACAGGACGAGCACTTCCAGGAAACTCTGAATCCACCAGGACTAAACCAGAACTAAACCAGGACTAAACCAGGTCTAAACCAGGTCTAAACCAGGACTAAACCAGGACTAAACCAGGTCTAAACCAGGTCTAAACCAGGTCTAAACCAGGACTAAACCAGGACTAAACCAGGACTAAACCAGGTCTAAACCAGGTCTAAACAAACAGGACTAAACCAGGACTAAACCAGGTCTAACCAGGTCTAAACCAGGACTAAACCAAACCAGGACTAAACCAGGACTAAACCAGGACTAAACTAAACAGGTCTAAACCAGGTCTAAACCAGACTAAACAGGACTAAACCAGGTCTAAACCAGGACTAACCAGGACTAAACCAGGTCTAAACCAGGTCTAAACCAGGACTAAACCAGGTCTAAACAGGACTAAACAGGACTAAACCAGGTCTAAACCAGGTCTAAACCAGGACTAAACCAGGACTAAACCAGGTCTAAACCAGGTCTAAACCAGGTAAACCAGGAACTAAACCAGGACTAAAAGGTCTAAACCAGGACTAAACCAGGTCTAAACCAGGTCTAAACCAGGACTAAACCAGGACTAAACCAGGACTAAACCAGGACTAAACCAGGTCTAAAGGACTAAACCAGGTCTAAACCAGGTCTTTTCTTTGTCTGTTATATAACAGAGTCTTTTATGATTGTGTCATGTGACCGCCTCCCCCTCCCGTGAGTCAGGTCGTGTGCGTCCTCCTGTGAGTCAGGTCATGTGTGTCCTCCCGTGAGTCAAGTCGTGTCGTGTGTCCTCCCGTGAGTCAGGTCGTGTCAGATGTCCTCCCATGAGTCAGGTCGTGTGTCCTCTCGTGAGTCAGGTTGTGTGCGTCCTCCCGTAAGTCAGGTCATGTCAGATGCCCTCCCGTGAGTCAGGTCGTGTGCGTCCTCCCGTGAGTTAGGTCGTGTCAGATGTCCTTCCGTGAGTCAGGTCGTGTGAGTCAGGTCGTGTGAGTCAGGTCGTGTGAGTCAGGTCGTGTGAGTCAGGTCGTGTGTGTCCTTCCGTGAGTCAGGTCATGTGAGTCGGGTCGTGTGTGTCCTTCCGTGAGTCAGGTCGTGTGAGTCAGGTCGTGTGCGTCCTCCCGTGAGTCAGATCGTGTGAGTAAGGTCGTGTCAGTCAGGTCGTGTGTGTCCTCTCGTGAGTCAGGTCGTGTGAGTCAGGTCGTGTGCGTCGTGTGAGTCAGGTCGTGTGAGTCAGGTCATGTGAGTCAGGTCGTGTGCGTCGTGTGAGTCAGGTCGTGTGAGTCGGGTCGTGTGAGTCAGGTCGTGTGTGTCCTCTGTGTGACCTGAGCAGGAAGTCCCGCCCTGAGCCGCTCCTCACACTTTGGCTCCGGAACAAAAGAAAATCTGAAATCCAGATCAGACACGTCCGGACTTTTATAGACCTGTTTTAGTCCTGGTTTAGACCTGGTTTAGTTCTGTTTTAGTCCTGGTTTAGACCTGGTTTAGTTCTGTTTTAGTCCTGGTTTAGACCTGGTTTAGTTCTGTTTTAGTCCTGGTTTAGACCTGGTTTAGTTCTGTTTTAGTCCTGGTTTAAACCTGGTTTAGTTCTGTTTTAGTCCTGGTTTAGACCTGGTTTAGTTCTGTTTTAGTCCTGGTTTAGTCCTGGTTCGGTTCTGGATCTTTGGAAAGGAGACAAGGAGACGAGGAAGGAAGGAGGGATGACAGACGAGTGTGTGGACGAATACAAGAAGTATCTGCAGTAGCAGTAATAGTATTTGTAGTATTTGTAGTAGTATTTGTAGTAGTATTTGTAGTAGTATTTGTAGTAGTATTTGTAGTACTCACTGGTCCGGGCTGGTCTCAGTTTGGACAGTAGTAGTAGTAGTATTTGTAGTAGTATTTGTAGTATTTGTATAGTTGTAGTACTCACTGTAGTTGGACTGTAGTAGTAGTATTTGTAGTAGTATTTGTAGTAGTAGTCTCACTGGTCCGGGCTGGTCTCAGTTTGGACAGTAGTAGTAGTAGTATTTGTAGTAGTATTTGTAGTAGTATTGTAGTAGTATTTGTAGTAGTATTTGTAGTACTCACTGGTCCGGGCTGGTCTCAGTTTGGACAGTAGTTTCTGGGTCTGGTTCAGGTCTCCGTTCTTCACGGCCTGGAGGAGGTCCTGCTCCTTCCCCATGGTCCTCCTCCAGACCAGGACCAGACCGGGACTAGACCAGGACCAGACCGGGACCAGACCGGACTAGACCAGACCAGACCGGGACCAGACCGGGACCAGACCGGGACTAGACCGGACCAGACCGGGACCAGACCGGGACTAGACCAGGACCCGGGACTAGACCGGGACCCGGGACTAGACCGGGACCAGACCGGGACCAGACCGGACCAGACGGGACTAGACCAGACCGACCACCAGACCGACGGGACTAGACCGGGACTAGCCACTAGAACCAGACCGGGACTAGCCCAGGACTAGACCAGGACCAGACCGGGACTCCACCCAAAACCCGACCCGGACTAGACCGGAGACCCGGTCCGAGTCCAGAGAGGTCAGACCCCAGAGACCGGACTAAAGCCTGGTCCTGAGTCCTGAGTCCGGACTACAGCGGGTCCGGGGACGGGTCCATCTGAGGACCGCCCCAGGTCTGAGGACCGTCCCGGGTCTGAGGACAGGAGCAGTCGGCAGGAGCAGGTGCACCTGTCAGGACACAAAACAGCACACAGTTAAATGAGGAAACTTTAGACTTTAGACCTTAGACTTTAGACATTAGTCTTTAGACCTTAGACTTTAGACATTAGATTTTAGACAACATTAGACTTTAGACATTAGACTTCAGACGTTAAACTTTAGACATCAGACCTTAGACTTTAGACATTAGACCTTAGACTTTAGACTTCAGACTTGAGACTGTAGATTTTAGACTTTAGACATTAGACCTTAGACTTTAGACCTTAGACATCAGACTTTAGACCTTAGACTTTACACCTTATACATTACACTTTAGACATCAGACTTTAGACTTCAGTGTGAAACTCTAACACTCGTATCGTTCCGTCCCGTTTCCTTCGCGGTCACGGCTCTGAGCTAAAACACAAACACATGATCCTGGTATCGATATTATTGATATGTTGACATATCGATATCGGCTCACACATATCGGTTCAGACGACCTCCTGGTTGGACGCTGACGTCAGGAAATGATTTTTCAGAACCTCAGAACTTTTATTCACACAAGAACAGAGGAGCTCATTCTCCAACAGATAATACTCCCTACAACTGTACAACTCACCCTTATGTAACAGATAATACTCCCTACAACTGTACAACTCACCCTTATGTCACAGATAATACTCCCTACAACTGTACAACTCACCCTTATGTCACAGATAATACTCCCTACAACTGTACAACAACTCACCCTTATGTCACAGATAATACTCCCTACAACTGTACAACTCACCCTTATGTCACAGATAATACTCCCTACAACTGTACAACTCTGTGACTTTTTGTATAAAACTGAGATTTTATATTTTATTATTTATTTTTGTGTTTTATTTTGACTTGTACATTTACATTTATATGATTATGTTTATTTTTTTCTTTTTATTTATAATTTATTTTCACATTTCAATATTTGACTCTTTGTTATTTTATCATATTTGATTTGATTTGTTTGTGTGACTCTGTGTCCAGATCTTTTCTCTGTGAATCCGTGTATCATTCGTTCATTCGTTTTTCAATATAAAACCAAAAATAAGAAAACGAAAAAACAACAGTTTTCTTCGTTATTTGTCTCCAAAACCAAAATGAAAAAACGGATAACGATTCGTTTTTTCAGTTTTCGATTTTGTGTTTAAATGAAGAATGGAAAAAACGGATAACGGCCGTTTCCCGTTTACGTGACTTCAGTGACTGTGATGCCGAACTTTTGCACCGCATACGGACTGAACCAGGACTGATCCAGGTCCGAGACCAGACCGAGACCAGAGCGGGACCAGACCGGGACCAGACCGGGACCAGAGCGGGACTGAGACCGGGACCAGACCGGACCGGGACTGAGACCGGGACCAGACACCAGAGCCTGAGACCGAGACCAGAGCGGGACTGAGACCAGGACCAGACCGGACCAGACCGGACTCCGAGCTTTGACTCCAAGCCTCCACAGGGTCCGAGCCTCAGCTTGGAGCTCCGGCCCTGCCGTGGGCTCTGAGCCTCCGGTCTGGTCCTGGTCTTGTCTCGATCTCGGTCTCAGGCCCGCTCTGGTCCCGGTCTGGTCCCGGTCTCAGTCCCGCTCTGGTCTCGGTCTGGTCTCGGACCTGGATCAGTCCTGGTTCAGTCCGTACGCGGTGCAAAAGTTCGGCATCACAGTCACTGAAGTCACGTAAACGGGAAACGGCCGTTATCCGTTTTTTCCATTCTTCATTTAAACACAAAATCGAAAACTGAAAAAACGAATCGTTATCCGTTTTTTCATTTTGGTTTTGGAGACAAATAACGAAGAAAACTGTTGTTTTTTCGTTTTCTTATTTTTGGTTTTATATTGAAAAACGAATGAACGAATGATACACGGATTTCTGTGGATCAGTAAAGTTTGTTTTTGTGTTTCAGACGCCGCTCCACAGATCTGACACGACACGAGCCAAACCACCACCACAGACCTGACTGAAGCACACAGTGAAGAAGACCTGGTTTAGTCCTGGTTTAGAACTGGTTTAGACCTGGTTTAGTCCTGGTTAAGACCTGGTTTAGACTGGTTTAGTCCTGGTTTAGACCTTGGTTTAGGTTAGTCCTGGTTTAGTCCTTAGTCTGTTTAGACTGGTTAGTGGTTTTCTGTCTGGTTTAGTTGGTTTAGTTCTGGTTTAGTCCTGTTGGTTTAGTCCTGGTTTAGACTGGTTTAGACTGGTTTAGTCCTGGTTTAGACCTGGTTTAGACCTGGTTTAGACCTGGTTTAGTCCTGGTTTAGACCTGGTTTAGTCCTGGTTTAGTCCTGGTTTTAGACCTGGTTTAGACCTGGTTTAGTCCTGGTTTAGTCCTGGTTTAGTCCTGGTTTAGATTGGTTTAGACCTGGTTTAGTCCTGGTTTAGACCTGGTTTAGACCTGGTTTAGTCCTGGTTTAGTCCTGGTTTAGTCCTGGTTTAGTCCTGGTTTAGTCCTGGTTTAGACCTGGTTTAGTCCTGGTTTAGTCCTGGTTTAGTCCTGGTTTAAGACCTGGTTTAGTCCTGGTTTAAGTCCTGGTTTAGTCCTGGTTTAGACCTGGTTTAGTCCTGGTTTAGTCCTGGTTTAGTCCTGGTTTAGACCTGGTTTAGTCCTGGTTTAGTCCTGGTTTAGACCTGGTTTAGTCCTGGTTTAGTCCTGGTTTAGTCCTGGTTTAGACCTGGTTTAGTCCTGGTTTAGTCCTGGTTTAGTTCTGGTTCTTGTGGTTTTGTTGACGTTTGTCGTCTCAAACTTTTACAGTTTAAAATAAATAAAATCTGGTTTTCACTGGACGAGTTCGTTTGAGTTTTATTGACTTGTTAAATGTGGTCTTTTAAAAACCGGCTCTGATCCGAGACCAGGACCAGACCTCGAGATCTGGACCAGGTTTAGTCCAAAGAAAAACCTGAAACCACCAAACCTAAAGAAACTCAGAACTTTTAAAACGAGACGGGATTTTAAAAACTGTGAAATTAACGGTTCAGAATAAAACATGAGACGCTGTAGTCCAGGTCCAGGTCCAGTCCAGGTCCAGTCCTGGTTCAGTCCTGGTTTAGTCCTGGTCAGTCCTGGTTCAGTCCAGGTCCAGTCCTGGTCCAGTCCTGGTTCAGTCCTGGTCCAGTCCTGGTTCAGTCCTGGTTCAGTCCTGGTTCAGTCCTGGTTTAGTCCTGGTTCAGTCCTGGTTCAGTCCTGGTTCAGTCCTGGTCCAGTCCTGGTTCAGTCCTGGTCCAGTCCTGGTTCAGTCCTGGTTCAGTCCTGGTTTAGTCCTGGTCCAGTCCTGGTCCAGTCCTGGTTCAGTCCTGGTCCAGTCCTGGTTCAGTCCTGGTTCAGTCCTGGTCAGTCCTGAGTCCTGGTTTAGTCCTGGTCAGTCCTGGTTCAGTCCTGGTCGTCCTGGTCCAGTCCTGGTTAGTCCTGGTCCAGTCCTGGTTCAGTCCTGGTCCAGTCCTGGTTCAGTCCTGGTTCAGTCCTGGTTTAGTCCTGGTCCAGTCCTGGTCCAGTCCTGGTTCAGTCCTGGTCCAGTCCTGGTTCAGTCCTGGTTCAGTCCTGGTTCAGTCCTGGTTCAGTCCTGGTCAGTCCTGGTCCAGTCCTGGTCCAGTCCTGGTCCAGTCCTGGTCCAGTCCTGGTTCAGTCCTGGTCCAGTCCTGGTCCAGTCCTGTCAGTCTGGTCAGTCCTGGTCCAGTCAGTCTGGTTCAGTCCTGGTTCAGTCCTGGTCCAGGTCAGTCCTGGTTCAGTCCTGGTCCAGTCCTGGTCAGTCCTGGTCCAGTCCTGGTCCAGTCCTGGTCCAGTCCTGGTTCAGTCCTGGTCCAGTCCTGGTCCAGTCAGTCTGGTCAGTGGTCCAGTCCTGGTCAGTCCTGGTTCAGTCCTGGTCAGTCCTGGTCAGTCCTGGTCAGTCCTGGTCAGTCCTGGTTCAGTCCTGGTCCAGTCCTGTCAGTCCTGGTTCAGTCCTGGTTCAGTCCTGGTCCAGTCCTGGTCCAGTCCAGGTCCAGTCCTGGTCCAGTCCTGGTCAGTCCTGGTCCAGTCCTGGTTCAGTCCTGGTTCAGTCCTGGTCAGTCCTGGTCCAGTCCTGGTCCAGTCCTGGTTCAGTCCTGGTTCAGTCCTGGTTCAGTCCTGGTCTGTGTGAGTGATGCTGGACGAAGCCCGAGGCAGAAACACGACTAAAGAAACGACAAGTGAGTTACATAAGAGACTAAACCAGGACTAAACCAGGACTAAACCAGAACTAAACCAGGACTAAACCAGACTAAACCAGAACTAAACCAGGACTAAACCAGAACTAAACCAGGACTAAACCAGAACTAAACCAGACTAAACCGGACTAAACCAGGACTAAACCAGGACTAAACCAGGACTAAACCAGGACTAAACCAGGACTAAACCAGGACTAAACCAGGACTAAACCACCAGGACTAAACCAGGACTAAACCAGGACTAAACCAGGACTAAACCAGAAGTAAACCAGGACTAAACCAGGACTAAACCAGGACTAAACCAGGACTAAACCAGGACTAAACCAGGACTAAACCAGGACTAAACCAGG